AGTAGATACTAGTATGAAGATGAAGGAGAAACTAAAGAATATTAAGATACTAAGGGAGTTTGTAGATGTATTTTTGAAGGAAATGAAAAGGTTACTACTTGGTGAGGGAGATTGATTTAAAGATAGAGTTAGAATCGAGAACTATTCTAGTTTCTAAGACTTTTTAAAGGGTTGGCACCGATAGAATTGAAGGATTTGAAGAAGAAAATACAAGAGTTACTAGATAAGGGATATATAATGCCAATTTGTTCATCATGAGGTATACAAGTTCTATTTATGAAGAAGAAGGATGAGACATTGAGGTTATACATAGATTACTTGGATTTGAATCGAGTAATAATTAAGAACAAATACCCATTCCTTGTATTGATGAGTTGTTTGGTCAATTACAAAAGACATCGAGTCTTTTCTAAGATCTATTTGCTATTAGGGTACCATTAATTGAGAATTAAGAAAGGAGATTTGAATAAAACTACTTTTCAAACTAGTTATGGTCATTATGAAGTTCTAGTGATGCTTTTCGGACTAACAAATGGTCCTATAACTTTTATGGACCTCATAAATTGAGAATTCTATGAATATCTAGACTAATTTATCATTTTCTTCTTTGATGATACCTTGGTCTACTCTAAGATGAGGGAAAAGCATGTAGAGCACTTGATAATCACTCTACAAATACCGAGGGAGCACCATTTGCATGTGAAGTTTAAAGAATATGCATTTTGACTAGATAAGATAGCCTTTTTTGGTCATATAAAGATAATGGATGTGAGAAGGGTAGATTTGAGTAAGATTGAGGTGGTTTATAGTTGGGGACAACCTAAAAATTTATCAAAGGTTCAAATATTTTTAGGAATGTTTGGGTATTATCAAAGGTTTATTGAGGTTTTTCTCAAAATTGGCTACGCCATTGATGAAGTTAACTAAGAAAAATGCTAGATTTAAGTAGAGAAATGAATACGTGGTGATTTTCTAAGAGTTGAAGCAAAGGTTGACTACTGTACCTACGTTGGTCCTCTCAACTAATAAGAGCAAATTTATAGTGTACATGGATGCATATAAGATAAGATTGAGGGTGGTATTAATACAAGGGGGAAAGGTTATAACTTATGTCTCAAGATAGTTGAAAGACTATAAAAGGAAATACTTCATGTATGGTCTAGAATTAGCAATAGTGGTATTTGTTTTTAAAATTTAGAGACACTATTTATATGGGATGAGATGTGAGATTTATACTAACCATAAGAGTCTTAAGTATTTTTTTACTCAAAAAATTCAAACATAAGGTAGAGAAGATAGTTAGAGGTGTTGGAGGATTATGATCTTGTATGATGTTATCATTTAGAAAAGGAAAATGCGAGTGGAAGATGTCTTAAGTAAAAAAATATGAGTAACAATATATGTAGTATAAATGGGTATTTTGAGGGATTTAGATAAGCTTATTATAGAGTTAGTGTTTAAGAGATGTAAGTGTAGGTCTGTCGACTTTGGTAATAAAGCTCGATTTGAGGTGTAGAATCAAGAGTAGACAATTAACTTATACTTGAACTCGGTTAGGTTAAAGAAAGAAGTAAAGGAAGGAAAAAGACCATATTTTATAGTTGATGGTGATAGGCAATAAGATATTAGGGTAGGTTATATGTACCAAAGGATAAAGATTTAAGAGAAGAAATTTTGATTAAGGTGCATTTTATGTCTTATTCATTACATTTGAGTAATAGAAAGGAATGAAGAAGGATGTAGTAAATCTTATAGCTAGATGCTTGATCTAGTAGTAGGTAAAAGTCGAGCATCAAAGACCATCGAATTTGCTACAACCTTAGGTAATACCTTAATGGAAGTGGAAAAACATAACTATGGATTTTTAGTGAGATTATCGAGGTCGGAAGAAGGTTTAATGCCATCTAGGTCATTGTAGATAGGTTGATAAAGTCGGCTCTCTTTTTTTTTTTTTTTTTTTTTGCCAATGAAAACGACTTTAAGTATGACCTAGTATGTAGAGTTATATATGAGAGGGATAATAAGGTTACATAGAATACTAGTATCTATTGTATCCGATAGAGATTTGAGATTAACATCAAACTTTTAAAAGAGTTTACATGAGGTAATAGGTACTAGACTAAATTATAGTACTATTTTTCACTCATAAAATGATGGGCGATCAAAGAAAGTGATACGGGTGTTAAAGGACATATTGATGGCTTGTGTACTTAATTGGTTAGGTAGATGAGAAAAATATTTATCATTGGTGAAATTTTCCTATAATAATAGTTACCAAGCAAGTATAGAAATTCTATCTTATGAGGCATGATATAGAAGGTGTAGATCATCAATTCATTAGGATGATATAAGTAAAAGAAAAATATTTGAACTTGAGATAGCTCGACAAATGATCGAGGTGATAAAGAAGATAAGGTTAAGAATGAAAATAGCTTAGAGTAGGTAAAAGAGCTACATCGATCGGAGAAGGAAGGATTTGAAGTTTAAGGTTGGTGATAATGTATTTTTGAAGTCAACATTGATGATAAGAGTAATGATGTTTGGGATGAAGGGAAAGTTCGGTCCGAGGTACATTAGGACTTATGAGATTCTTGATACGGTAGATGACCAAGCATACAGATTGGCTCCACTTCCATCTCTATCGGGAGTCCATAACATCTTCCATATAGCAATGCTAAAAAAGTTTATGAATGACCAAAATCATGTATTGGTAGTAGAATTGGTGGAGTTAACTTTAGACTTGACCTATGCAAAAAGGCGAAGTTGAAATTAAGAAGCTAAGGAACAAAATGATTACTTTGTTGAAAGTTTTGTGAATAAGTCATAGTGCGGAAGAAGGCTGCACAAGAAAAGGAAGAATAGATGAGGATTAAGTATTTAGAACTTTTTGTGAGTAAATTTTAAGGACTAAATTTCTATAAGGAGGGGAGGATTGTAACACCTAAAATTTTCTTCTTCATATTATGTATATGTATACTTGTGGGTGTGTGTTAATTTCATTTTTGTTTTATGCATGTAATTGATATTTTCTAATTGTTTTTATTATGTGAAGTATTTTAGATTAAATGTGTTTTGAGATTAAAGAAAGATAAGGTAATTAGAATTAGTTAAGTTTGATTAAATTTATTACATAAAATGAATCAAAATAATAAAAATTTTGACTCTTAAATAGAAGTTTAGAAGTTGAGATAAAGTTTGTTTTAAGGTAAAGTAATGTAAAAATTAAAATTAAAAAAAGGGACCCTTGTTTAAAAGCTGGGAATGGGTCATTTTTGTCCATTTTTTTCATCTTTCTTGCTATCCCTCTCAAGCCTTAACCCTCCTACTTCAATTCCACCATCTCTCACCCATTTCTAACTTATCCCTCCACTGAAAACAATAGATTATGTTAGTTCTTGATGAACCAAACTAACATTAAGCAAGATTTAAGTTTTAAAAAGTTGATGTTTTTTAGTTTGAAATTTGAACCCACAAATAAATATACGATTTTTACTATGATTTTAGCTATTTAAAATATTCTTAGATGATTATTGATGATTAAGAGATTGAATTGTGATGGGTTTGTCATTCATTTAAATATTGAGCTAAGTTAGGGTTAGAGTTTGAGTTGAATTTAGAAATTTAATTATTAAATGATTACTTATAATAATTAATGCTTAAAATAAGATAATAAAGTTGTGACATTAATAATTGAATTATGGGTTTGAGAAATCCCCAAGTTGGTTGAGATGATAGATTGTAGATACAAGTTGTGTGAGATTGAATTGAAAAGAAATTTGGAGAAAATGAAGAATTAGGTTATAAAAATACAATTAAAGATTAATGAAAAGAGCATTGAGTGAATTAAAATAGAATCGATGATTTAATTGAGCATTGATGATGAAATTATGGTTTAGTCAATGAAGTTGATAATGAGGTATGAAATTGAATGTTAATTGATGATGAAACACAATTTGATTAGTAGATACAAGTAATTAATTGACAATTACTATACCATATATCATAGAAAAGAAATTATGAGCAAAAACAATAATTAATAAAATTAAATTTTAGAGTTATACGAATTACATTTTCTTACATAATATGATGTGTATATTAAGGTGTTATTTGGTAATCGAAATAGAGTGGTGGGAATGAGCGAGAAAAGTTTTATTCTCACGTTGCGATACTGTTTGGTTAAAAGGAATGAAGTGGGAATAAGAATGATAATTTACACACAACTTCATTCCCATATACGATATGGAAATAAAAATAAAGAATGAGAATGAAATATTTTTTTTCAAAGTAATAATATATTTTATTTATTTATTGTCTATTAATTACTTTTATCACTACCAACACAACCACCATCACAACTACCACCACCATCACCATCACCATCGTAACTACCACAAGCACCAACACCACTATCGTGACCACTACCCCTATCACCACTACTAAAACCACCATCATCACCTTTATTATTTTTACAATCATTATAGTTTGATAAAATTATTTTTTTAATCATTATTTTTATTTGTATAAAAAATCAGATATTAAAAAATTTAAATTGCACTTCGATTCCTCATTAGTATTCCAAACACGGTATGGGAATATAAATGTCATTCTAATTTCTTAATTTTCATTCGATTCCCGCATTTTCATTCTCACCACTCTATTCCCGATTACCAAACAACACCTTAATTTTTAAGCTATTTAAATAGGTTATCAAACACCTCTTAAGTTTTAGCCACTTATCTTAATTAGCTTCTTCTCTTTTTTTCTTTTTTCTTTCTTTCTTTCTTTTTTTTTTTTTTTTTTGTGTCAAGAATAAAAAGAAAATAATTAGGATAAAAATCAATATATATATATATATGCATTGCGGGAAAGACTTAGAAAGGTAGTTTATTAGGTAGAATATTGTAGCATGCGATCGAGGTGCCTTCTTAGTCTTACTCAACAAACTAAAAGCTACTGTAGTTCAAATCAGAAAGAAGGCAAAAGTCCCTTGAGAAATACAGTCAATAATTTGAGCCAGGAGTATCCCAAGTCTCAGGTATGACAGAGTGAAGTAAGCACCATTCCTGTGGACTTGATACTATTGAGCCCATAGAAGAAATAGTGAAGTCCTCGTGTGTATTAACTACTTCCTCTATCGTCTCCATCACCTCTCCCATAGTTGGCCTTTCTTCTGGTGAATTTGACACACATTTGAGAGAGATATTGAGCAAAGGAAATGCATATTGCCTCGCAGCGGGATTAACCTCCTTGTCAAAAACTTCTCCCGTCCATTCCTCCCTCACTATGGATCTGACCCATTTAGGAAGGTCTATCCCACTCTTCTCCACTGTTTTTCCTGTTAGCAACTCGAGCAAAATTATTCCAAAGCTGAAAACATCGCCTTGTTCTGATAAAGTTTTCTCAGGGGCTGTATAGCCGTTGGAGGAAAAGGACCAAGCTCTCTTGGGGTCCAAAAATCTTGAAAATCCATACTCACTAATTACAGGTTCTTGATTTTCATCCAACAGGATATTTGAAAGCTTAATGTTCCCATGAGGTATTATCTCATGGTCAATAGGGTTCCTATATATGAAGTCCAGACCCCTTGCAATGCCAGTGGCTATTGACAGCCGAAGTTTCCATGGGAACTCCCTCTTGCCTTCAATGTAGCCTGCAGGTTACCAACAATAATCTGCTGAGATATATGTAGGAAAATAACACATTTTCAGAATCCGAAAATGATAATGGTAGTCATAAAAATATTGGACAAGTGATATATTGTGTTGTTCTGAAGAGAAAGACATGCATAACTATATTCCACAAGCAACAGGTTCACACATAGGACTATAGGAGAGAAGTTAAAAAGAGTATCCAAGCTCGCAGGCCTGAAATAGCTTGCACAGATCTTATCGCATTTGAACAACCCTGATGCGTGCATGCTTTTCTGAGTCTGATGCATGGGTTTGCGTATCATCGTTGGGACTATTTTAAATCAAGATAAGCAAAACTTACCCTCTACAAGGTTTAGCAGGCTTCCACTGCTTTGATACTTGTATATTAGAAGTTTTTCCTCATCAGTGGAATTGTAACCAACAAGGGATAGAATGTTTGGATGCTTCAAATTCCCTATCTGCCTCATTGTTTGGCCAAACTCCTCAAAGGATACCTGCAATTTCTTCAATCTTTTGACTGCATATACAATGTTGTTCTTAAGCTTCACCTTGTACAGACTGCTGTTAGGGGTCTGGCTTTGCAAGTCTGCCGTGGCTTCAAAGAGGTCATCCAATCTGAACCTTTCTTTCTCTTCAACAAAGAAAACGAGCTCTGAGCATCTTTCTTTAGGCTTCAAGTCTTCTTGAGGTACATGTGGAGGAGTTTTCTGAGGAGAGTGTGCTAGAGATTTCAGAATCTCCCTATCTTTGGCCGAATCAGAAAACTTCTTGATCACAAAGTATGCTAATACAGAGGAAAATACAATGACTAAAACTAATGGCATGACGTATATAGCTTTGTCATACCATTTCTCTGTGCCAGAGCCAGACTTGCTACCATTGGGTGGGTCTGCAGGATGTGATACAGAACCAGCGTCAATGCTATTTAGAGCCTTGGAGTCTGCCACTGTTGCCAATTTTTGAAGATTGTACATCTTCACTCTACCATGTTTCATGGAATGTTTATCTAGATGCACAAATTCCTGTTTGGAATGAGGGATAATTCCTGTTAAATAATTGTTAGAAATATCCAAGATCCTGAGATATTTCAAATTGATTAGAGCCACAGGCACTCTTCCCCTCAAAAGATTGCTGCTTAGATTTAAATAGGTCAGGCTTCTACAATTCAAGATGGAGTGAGGAATATTTCCTTGGATAAGATTCTTTGCTAAGCTCAGAACTTGCAGATGTTGGAGCTTACAAAGGGAGCCTGCATCAATTGCCCCAGTAAAACTCTGGTTGTCAAGCCTGATTTGAGTTATAGTAGTAGCCTCAAAATTGCACTTGACACCCTTCCACCTATTTGAGCAGGGATGTGGGAGTATTCCATTCCAGCTGATTCTTAGCACATTTTGGGGATCAATGGCTCTAATGAAATTGAAGAAAGACTCGGTTTCGGACAACTGACCTCCTGAACATGCTGTGATGAAGAGAAACACGGTGACGTGTGCCAAGGCTTTTAAGAACAGACAGCAATTTCTCCGGCTCCACATTGTATTAACATCTACTTCTTTATTTGAACACCAAAAACAGGATGAAATGTGATCAGGGTGGAACGTGTTAACCAGCAGTATTTTTAGGGTATGCCAAAGCAGAGAAATTGACTCATACTACAATATCACTCCTCTTAAATTCGTTTTGGTTCATTTCCTTCATCATTTCCAAAGTTCTTTGTTTAATCTATATAGGCATGACCAATGTTTTAAATACTGTTAAATGCTTCGTTGTCTTCTATGGGATACCATACCTAAAAGCATATAAGGGATACTTCACCTTAGATATAATTGATGTACGTGAATCCAGGTCCAGTCTTAGCTTTACTAAAAACAGTTTGAAGTTAAGCATAGGAATAATGCAGTTGGAGTTGGCACGATCACATTAATGAATGCCATAACATGCCAAAAACATCATAATCAACGAGAAATGTCTATGCTATCATAGGCCAATCGGAGAAAGCAGTGCATGTGTTTTGGAACTTACGGACTAGGCATTTTCAAAGCTGTCGTCATTTAATTCATTTCCTTGTTGGGTTGGAAACAAAGAACAAAGAAAGAAAAGTTGATGTTTGATAAAAACCAAGTAGCTATGGACATCGATCTGTGAAAAGCACACTGCAGGTAAGGCAAGCGTCTATAATAATGCACACTCTAGCCCCCCAAAACACTAAAAATGTCTTCAGACTTCAATTGCAGCAATGAAAATTTTCAATTATTTTACTTCAACTTGTGAATTAATTAATGTATGTTTTACATTTGAATCATGATAGCTCGTCATAGGGATATCAGAAGTTTGTAAAGCTGGAAAGCAACCAAAACCTTGTGGGTTAAAAAGAACTTCAATTTTGAGAATTCAAGAAATATTATTGTCCTTCGCTTTGCTAGCATATGCTGTCTAATGGCAATATATTTATAATACATTGACTGACAACTTCAGAAGCTCTCTGCGGCGCTTATTGTACTATAAGTAAATTTATTTGAATTAAAATAACAATAAAATAATTAAATCTATTATAAGATTTTTAGTATCTAAATGAAGCTAACGCTAATATTTTTAGCTTGAAATGTTACATTAATTTAATATAATTTATGTACTTGTATTATTTCAATTTAAAATCAGCTTATTTATATACTTCATATCATGAATAATAGTCTATAACAAGATAAAATATTCTCTATTAATATTCTTAATTACGTATATATTTACAACAACAACAACAAAATATATATATAAGTTTGCTCTTAATAAAAATTGTTTTGACTGGCTTTTACTGAAATTATCAACAAATTGTTCAGAACCAGTCAGGTTTCATCCATATGGATCTTAACAGAGATTGGAAGTTCAAAATAAATTTGAGAAAGCAAGTACAATCCAGATTGATCCCTAAAAAATCGACCATTAACGAATCTGTATATGCAGATGACCTTTTGCGCATTACAGAATTTGAAGCCACATAGTAAAACTTAAGTGAGACTACTAGACACCAGATAGAGGCAAAACAGCATAAAAAAACATGTGCAGTGGTTCATTATCAGAAGATCAACGATTGCTTGATGACATGGTTGCAAGCGGCTCAAAGTAGTTCATGGTTCATTCAAAGACTAGCACAAAGTATAAGCAGACTATGCATTCATCGACAAATCATTTTTGAATGAAAGTATTTAGCATCGAATCAAGGAATTATCACAGTTCCTTAATTCAAGAATTAGGCACCAAAAAAAATGGCTAACCAAATAACTTGCTGCATCAAGATACACCTCAACAAAGAAAATACACCCCTCACAGCACCAGTGAAGGTCCAGCTCAGTTGATTTATCTTACCCCCATGAATAACAACAGATATAGCAGGGCTTGTTGGCCTGTAATATGCATTATGCATTTTAAAAACTCTTTCAAGCGCCAACCAAAATAATGCATCTACACAAATACCAGCACTCTTTGCAGAATCTTCCATATAGTCTCTAGTTCTAGAATAATAACAATTTAACGAAAGAGAAAATTGCTAAAAAAGCGAAACCATGTTGGGGTTGAAAAGGTTGGTTTTGTGGAAACTTCGAAATATTATTCCAGCCATATCCCAAAGGAGCTACAAATGAAATCTAAGAAAATGTCATAAGATCTAAAACCTCTAATGATTTGTGAAAATGAAATCCATAAACAACAAACCTCACAATTCATCTCGCTGAAAGCATCGCTAATTTGTTCATGTTCCCACTTCTTGCCTACAAACATCCAACTTAGGAAGGAAAGTGGTAGCACAAATCAGAAGCATGAACATCCAAGAAATGGATCACATGAACATAATTGTAACTATTTCGTAATTCATTGATGTGAAAAGAGGTTGAATGCATGCTAACAAAATTGAACTGTAGAGTTTCACTCGTTATTTTATAGGAGAGAGTAAGATACTACAAAATGAAGAATTAAACATCTGAATGCTACACAACAAGAAAACCCCACTAAAAATTCAGGCTTCAATGCTTACTTCTTTTGCTAACCCCTCCTCCTCCAGCTCCTTGACTGCTGTTATAAGGCTCCGAGTGATTGAATTTAGATACAAGCCTTTCTCCTTCATTTCTGCAAACAGCTTCTCTGCTGTTCCCCAATCTAAAGACTTTAAGCAAAGAGATTGAATCAACTTATTGTACTCGTCTACATTAGGCTGAACCCCAAACTTCTCCATTTCTCTCAACAACTCCAAAGCTTTGTCAAACTGCTCCAGTTTGCAATACCCTCGAATAAGTGTATGGTAAGTTACATGACTCAGCTTAGAGTGCTTCTTTTTGGCTTCAGATAGTATGGAGCGTGCCTCCTCCATCTGGCCACCACTTGAATAACCACTCATAATAACAGTATACGTGTACACATCTGGTTTCAGACCCCGACTTTCCATAAGCTTCATAATCTCTATTGCCTCCTTCATACATCCATCCTTACAATAGGCACTGATTACTGTATTAAAAACAGCATTGCCAGGAGGTGGGCCCTCTGCAATCATCTTAGAAAGTAACTGTTTAGCACCATCAAGATCTTTGATCCTACACAAACCACGAATGACAGATGAAAAAGGCTTAATACCATACTTTCGTACTTCTCCTTCGAAACTATCCAACATCTCCAAAGCTAATTTGACAGTTCCATCATCCCGGCATAGTGATCCAATCAAAAAATGGAGAGCAGACTTAGGTGGGCACTTGTTCTTCTCCTTTGCCAATATATAAACTGTGTGGGCATCCTTTGCCTTACTCCCTTTACATAACCAACAAATAATCTTACCAATGTTCTCACTATCAGGCAAGGTTCCTTTATCCAGCATCTTCTCACAAACCATCCATGCCCAATCATAAAACGAGCGCCTACAAAGAGCTTCAATTGTATAATAATACGTGTTTGAATCCGGGACACAGCCAAAATCCTTTGATTTGTCAAAAACCTCTAAAGCAGCCTTCCCTTTACCTAACTTAGACAACAAAGCTATCAACTGATTAAGACTCGCTATACTCACCAAACCATCATTCTTTTCACCAATTTCCCTAACCAAATCCCACAAGGCATAAGCATTTTTTCTTCTAAGATCACTATTACATATAGAGCAAACAAGCGCATCAATTACATGAGTATTGACACTAAGATCCTGCTTCTTCATCGCCCATTTAAAAAACCTAATCAAATTCTCCCCCAAAACAAGCGGAGTCTCGAGCACTTTCACCAAAAACTCCTCATGTAAATCCAAGCTAAGACTATCAAGAGTTGACTCTAAAGACCCATCAACACTACTTTGCAACAGAGACAACACTTTCTCTAACTTCTCCACATCTATCTCATAAGCCTCACTCTCCTCATTCTCTTCTCCAACCTCATTCTCTTCTCCAACAACACTATCAACACTCACATCCCCAGGAGCATAATTATCCATCTGGGAATCATCGTCTTCACTAGAAGGCAGTGAAAAATGCTCTGACAAACCTTCAAACTGGGTATCATTATCTTCCCCAAAAATCATTGAAGAATCATCACTGGCAGGGGGGAATGATCATTTTCATTTGGGTTTGAAGAGAAATGTGAGAGAAATCTAAGGTTTTGATTAGACTGAGAGGAAACCCACATGGAGATATGAGATTGAGAAGGATATACCTTGTTGCTGTAGTTGGGGTTTTTGGTTGCACCAAAGTTCCGTGCTACCACTCTGGATTTTGCTGCTATTGATCTCCACATCTTTCCCTCCCTCCCTCCCTCTCTCTCTCTCTCTCTCAGCGTCAGTAGGCGAGCTAGCTCTGTGAAATGGGAACGGTAGACTAGACGACCCGTTTTTAGCCAAAAACCCTAACTTTGTTGGGTTTTGTTCATTCGATTAAAAAATGACCCACTTAACTGCTCGGGTCCTGACCTGGCTACTGGGTATTAATCTTTGTTTTCCCTTTCCACGTTTTTTTTTCCTTTTTTTTTGTTTGGTCTTTTTTTATAATTATTTTTGCCCTTTAGGTATGGAAGTAATTTGCCTTTCTCTGCTAGAGAAAAGGTCAAATGACCCAAAACTCTTGGAATTTTTTTTCGTTTTTATAACATAACTATTTGACCTCCTGATAAGGATACACAAATATGACAACATAGTGAGGGTCTTTGGGTGCCATTCAAATAAATAAATAATAAATTTGAAATTTAAAATAAGTTATATTTTCAAACCGATGACGTAATTTTTAGTGTAAAGAAAAAAATATAATTAAACGTTTTTTTAAGGGGAAAAAAAACACAACATTGTTAGACAACTAAAAAATTGCTTATGGCTGCTCGTGGGCTTGGTACGGGCAGGCATTTTTTTATTCTATTTCTAAATCTTTAAAATATTAGGTAGTTATTTTTGGATATTCTAAAATTTTTCATTTTTATAAGATTGTAAAATTTATTAATATTTTCCTTTTTCTATTTGAAAATAAAGACTTTTTCTATAAGGAAAATATTAATAAATTTTAATATATATAAACTCATTTTTCTTTCCTACATTTATGCAATATGATTGAGAAAATTCCAATACAATTAAAAAATAAATTCATTTGTTTAAAATAATATATAGAAAATGACTATGAATATAAAAATATAATAGATAATTTGTTGGAAAATTTTTTTAAAAAAAAACTTATTGACTTATTTATTTATCATATAAAACGGTGCATGCGTCCACAACTAAAAAAAAAAAAAAAAGTTTATACATATATATGACTCAAGTCTTTTAAAAACTCTTTTAGAAAAACGAGATAGAGGAAGAGTTAGACTCGCCTCCGAAAACCCTAAAGAAAATCAAAAGGCTGCAAAACCTTGAACGTGTTCCAGAAGACTTTCTTTTTGTACTTAGAGAAGTTACTTCGAGGAAATACTTGATTAAGATAACTTTTGTTTTTCAAAACAATTTCAAAATTGATACTATTGTCTTATTTGATATTTGTGCTGATTTAAATTGCATTAAATTAGGCATAGTTCCAAAACGGTTTCATTCTAAAACCTATGAAAGACTTTCTGCAGACAAATAATTCTAAAATGACCATTAAAGGTAAAATAGTCCTTAAGTTTAGGCGAGTAAATCAAAGATATCACCTTCATAACTCGCGTATCCCATGCTTCAAACCATAGTCTAGTCATGGACTCTATATTATGTAGATCTACCTTCTTTAAACCCTTTCGGGTTTCTAGGACAAGCCAACAACAAATCCAAACCAACAAGCCTCGAGTTTCCTAACTAATTGTTTTCCTATGGTTTGAAAGTTGGCATTGGAAAAATTGTTCGTTGAACAATGTTTTGGATGTTGACAAAGTTATCATCCTTGGGTATTTTGTAAGGACATGCTTCTATTTTGGCTTCTCCGTGGGAGAAGGTGAGTTTCCTTAAAGGAGGGTGTTCGGACTCGGATAGTCTTTCCTTCTACTTTCCAAAGGGGAGTTTTGTTTCCGGTCGTAACGGGGCTTACTTGTTCTAATAAAAGGGTAAGAAATATTATTATTACTAACATACAATTCAAACCAATCAAAGAAGAAAATATGAACTTTATCTAGATTTATAAATTCATAAAATTCATTTTGAATATCTTTCCCGTTGTCAAGAAAGTTTTTAAAGAACCAAATTCTTTTTTCAAAATTATGTTTTGCATAGAAATCATTATGCGGATATTTTTTATCTACTTCAAATGTATCATCGGACAAAGCATTACATTCGTTTGCAATATTTTCGAGTGATGGCAGATGTAGTAGGAGATAAAGATAGAGAATCATCCTAGTTTGAATATCCGGGTTTTGGGATGTTTGTACAATAATCAACATTTTGTAAAACGAGATTTGGAATATCGAAGTTGAAAACCTATGATGCATACTAGGGAATTGTAGACCTTGGTCTAAGTTCGTATCTCTCCTAGTATTTGGTAAATTTATGACAAAGGAAATTTTTGAAATTCTACCTAAGTCAAAAGTTTGAGAACTAGATACAACATCGGAAAATCTACTACCGATAAATTTTCTATCAAATGAGAGTCTAACACTCCCATCTAAATGTTGAGCTATAGACCTTATTTGTGTATTGGGTTTTGGAATCTCTAGAATTGGTAGAGATTTAGGTTAGCTTATACCTTTTAAGATCTATTTGTACGGTAGGACTATGTCTTTCCACCTAATAGGTTTGGGAATGACGAGTATTGGATCCAGTCGGATCCGTTTGTAGGAGAAAGGTTTCTCCATTGGTTGATTGTCTTTTGTGTTTTGAGACAAAAGCGAGTTCATGGCCTTATAATGGATTCTTATAATCAATGTAACTAGGATTGATCCTTCCATCATATTATAATTGTGGGTTTTGATTTGGAGTACTAAGGACTCCGGAATGTTTTTGTTATTCAAGAAAACCGTGAAGTTTAGGTAATAGGCAAAAGATATCGGTCCGTTACATAAACTGGATTCTATAAAGCTAAGCGAGAGAATCCTAAAAATTGATAAACCTATTATCTCTAAGGGTCTGCTAGGATTGATGTGTTAAATCCTTCTTTTGTAAGTGGTTTAATCCCCACTTGAACTAAATCTATATAAATGTATTTGAAGTTTTTGTCTCTATGTTTTTGAAAAGAGGAGGTGAATCGTTTCAAAGGGTTTCAAAAGCTGAATATCCCTCTCCTCGATTTTGATAGTAACATCGGTTTTGAAAATATTATATTTTGAGTTTTTGTAGATTTCATCTTTGTGAATCTTGGGTATTACCCAATCATCAATTTGTTTTTCAAAATCTTCAATCACATATTCTACACTATTAATTATTTTCCTTGATTGAGAAGAATTAGAAGTAGAAGAATTCGTAAAGGAGGTAGATCTACAAAATATAAAGTTCATGACTAGACTATGGTTTGGAGCATGGGATACGTAGGTTATAAAGGTGATATCTCTTATTTACTCGCCTAACCTTATATATATATATATAACTTTGCATTCCATTTACTCTTTTTCATTGGTCACTTATTGGAAAAAGAATAGCATCTACCAACCATGATACTAGAAGATTACAATTCATACAATCAATCAACAAAATTTTATTTAATAAGTTATTTTGGTTTTTGATATAATATTGTTCGTTTTTTGTTTTTTTGTGCAAAAATGTAAGTCTGGTTGAAACCAAACCAATAATTAAAAGAATCTTACTAACATAATTAACCCTACTTTAAAAAAAAAAAACCATTGTTGTGTGAAGATACTCATAAAATTAGAGTTCCTTTCGCTCGTAGTCGTTTGGAAAATGCTTTAATTAAGGACAATAATTGTGCGATGTATAGAATAGGAAGAGAACAATTGAGAAATGAGAGTGAATTTATTGTTAATTGAAATGTGAAGAAATAAAATTATAAGAAATATTTGGTGTGGATGATGATGGTGGTAGAGTCGAGTATAGGGTTTTTGTGACTTTGAAATTGTTTGAACTAGAGTTCTTGGTTTTTTTTTTTTAATAATGAATTTGGTGGTCGCATAATCAAATACTAAATGTCATAATTCATTTTTTGACCTTTCATAAAAAAAAAAAAAGAATTGAAAAATTAAAAAAAAATTACGTAAAATTTTTTTAAAAAATTTACATGTTGTATATATATATATATATTGCATAATTTTTAGTTACCGTACGCCTAAGAAAGTTGGATGAACTATATCAAAAGAGTTAGGATAACATGGCAAAACTACGAGAGGAACCTACTTGATAATCCGAGTCTCGACAAAAGAAAAGGATGTTGTAAGGAGGGAGGACAGACAAGGAGATTTTTGAATTGTGCAATACCACTTAAAAGTTGAGGTCTTAAGTGTTGATTTGATTTTTCGATTCGGTTTTATATTATTTTGATTTGATTTTCTATTAATTGAATTTTTAAAAATAAAAACTGAAACATAAGTAAAATGCTATTTTGTTTTTTTGGTTAAAAAATCCAAATTTTGGTTTTCAATTAATTGATATATTTTTTGAAATTTCAAATTTGTTTGGCTTTTTTAGCAAAATGGGCCTATTTTGAAATGGGCTTGTTTGATATTGAGTCTTGACTCATGGGCTTTTAGTAAAATGGGCCACTTAAACTTTAGAAACGTACAGTACATATAACAATCTAACTAAAGAATTCTATCATTTGAAACGACAATCCATGACGAGTAAAGTATACTTGATATGATGTCCTATACCGTTAACCAAACCAAAGGACTCGAGTGATTAATGGAGGAAAAAAAAAGCCTAGTAATTGAAAAAACATAATTGTTGCTTAAACAAGAAACTTCCTATTGAGGCAAAATAATAATAATAATAATAATAATAATAAATAAATTCAAGAAATTCAACATTTTAAAAGCACCATTTAACAAGTCCTCGGTAAAAACGAACATAGTTCGGACACTAATACATGATATATTTTTTTTAAAAAAAAGATAGAAAATCAAGAAAGAGTCTTGATGAGTCTTGCTTGCCATTGCTTGGATAGATCGGATCATTAAAAAAAGACCCAAACA